CTACTAATCAAGCAAAGCATTTTCTTTGAAATAATATGGTCGTTTATCAATAGCTAGACCAGGGTTTCCCCCAACAGTGTTCAGGATGATCAAGGGGTCGATGGCCAAACATGGATTGGCATTATCAAGATCCCGTTGATTAAAAAAAATGTATAGGTAAATTTGATAATTTTTTTATTTATATAAAGTGTTATTAGAAACACGCTGGTATGTTCATTTTGGATTTGAAAAGTCATCCGAGAGAAACATCCCAAAATTAAAGTTGTTACCGAATCAACATTATTGACTTTTCACCTAGTGGAAGCAGGCTTTGCTCAAGTCAGTAACTCTTCTGTATAGAATATTATGTCCATAATGATGAGAGGGTTAAAAACATTGCATCAATACATCAAGCACAGACATCACCAAATTTTTGGCGTTAAAATTTTGTGCCTGAAAACTTGCTTGTGTATTTAAAATTAGTCTAATAATCTATTTTTTTTTTCAAAACTTATTTATATTCTGTGCCTAATTATTATCTAAGTTATTTATATGCAATTATTTGTATCATGATTATGTTGTATATTAATGTGAGGGGGTCAGTGAAGAAAAACATTCTTTTAAAAGAAGTTGATGAAAGAATTGGGAATCCCAGAACTAGACTGTAGTAATTTCTGATATTCCCTGTATGGTGCAAACAATATAAGTACACTTTAATTACTGTATTATTGTATTTACAGTACATATATATGCATATGAATGTCCACATATTTTCCTATTATCTTCAAAGATTTTTTATTGAATTCTAGTTTTGCATTTTGTGACACTATTTCCATGAACCTGTGTAACAAATTTGGCGACTGGTTTTATTCTGCATGTGGCAATTCCAAGCAACTTCTTTCCTCCTTTGGAACAAAGTGGTTCAGTCTGGATACAGTTTTCCCAATTTACATCAAATTTACAAGTGCTGTGTTGGGTTTGCCACCTAGCTGGTACATGGGTGTTTGTAAATACGTAATATCTCTGTGGCAAAGGGGCACCCAAAATACAAAGCCAAAAAGCCGTCTTGAGGTTGTGGTAGGGTCCTCTCAGGAGGAGTAGAAACCCCTTGGACTGCCCTCTGTGGTGTCCTTCAAAATTGGGGCACAACTGAACAGTTAGTTCAGCTGGATTATACCTGTACAACCAGTGGTGAATATTTCCGGTGTCTCATCCACTTTTACTTGTGTTGTCTGTGCAAGTGAAAATGCCAAACAAGAAAGAAAGGAAACAAATTAAGATATCTGACCATGATGTAATCTTCAATTTTGATGATAACCTTATTTTAAAGCTTATACATAAAGTTTGTCAAAACCACTTTTATTTAAGACTGCTTTACTTCCAAAAGACTACTCCCAGTCGTTAGAAGCAGAATTATGGCTGTTCTTGTTCTATGGCATGAACTGATGTTTTTGTTTAAGAACCCAGAAGCAGATATCGAAAGGCACAGAGTTCTCTAAATAACTTTAAATGAAAATTTTTCATTTGAATACTTTTGGTGATGTTCGAACGATTTTAAACCTTTCTATTTGTTATTAAGTGTTCGAGAACAAGATCAGGTTTGCAAATTAAATTTCATACTTGACAACATTTTCTTTTTCTTCTGTTTATATTTACATTACATTAAACTATCCCTCCCAAAAAAAGACTTAATTCTTTCAACTTTTCTGTGAAGGAAAAAAGTTTAACTTAAAATAGCATTCCAGTAATTTTATGAAACTTTCCACAAATATTCTGTGAAATACTGTGAATTATATGGTGTAAAAGTTTAGGTTTTTAATGCATATCTAAAATTTTTTTCAGACAACTTTCTAAATAAGAAGAGAGAAATTTCTCAAAAAATAGTTAGTGTAGGTAAAGAAACGGGTGTATTTAACAGACATTTTACTTTATCACTCAGAATTTAGTCCACTTAAATGCTTATACCATAATAAATATAAATGACAGAAATAAAAGGAAAATATTTTTGTGCAAATAATCCTGAAATTTAACATGTTCTTAACCCAAAATATGAGAAAAATTCAAAAATTGTACTTTGATAATATGTCTATCCCCGGTTTCTATCATTTTAAGTAGTTATTCTGGTAAATAACACCAATAATAGATTTGCACTATTTCCAAAATATGGGTATCAAGTGTAGCCAGGTGGAAATAAAACTGAATGTTTTGAGAGATTGGTTGGCAAATACCAAAAAACTCCTACTCAGAAATAAAGGAAAATAATCCTTTTAAATCCAATATTATAAAAAATCCTATTATTATTATATTGTTGTTTAATACTAAAATACAAATGCAGTAGTTAAAATATGTACTGTACATAAATGCACATAATACTGGACCTAAATGTTTTTCTGCTATCTAGATCTCGTAGACACCACCATACTCTGCATGCAGCAAGCAGTAGCTAAATCCCAATACACGTGCCATCATCACGCTTTTCAGCAATTGCAATATTTGTTTACTTTATTAAACATTTCTTTCAATGCAAGTTGTTTAAGTTGCTTTGTTTTTTGTGCTAAACGCCCATGCGTAACATTAAACGTGCATGCATAAAGCATACAAAAAAAGTTTGTGGCTTTGAGGTCCTGATTACAGACTTTGTACTGTATATAGGACTGCTATAGCATGTAGTTGTGCACCATCTATTTTGATTGCAATTGCCCACACCAAAAGTATATATATTTATATATACCCACACTGTTACTCGGCTCCTTTTTATTTTCTTATATGTTGGCAAATTGCATGTTTTTTGCTTTAATAATGATTGAATTATGTTATTCTTATCTTCTGGTTACTTCCAGCACACGTGTATGCGCAAAATTTACGACAAATTCAGTTTTCAATGCACATTTTTCCCATATCGAAGCTGAGACATTTGAAGACCATTTCTATTCCTCCTTTCTACCCTTCCTCACATCATGGAATGTGCCAACAGGAAGTCATTTGACTTTTTTTTTAACTGGGCTTTTGTGCTATGTGACAGCTTTTTCATAAAAGTTAAGACACGCGTGTAGTCGTGTTTTAAAATTCGGAAAATATTTTTTTCTAAAATATTGTAATTTTGTGTTATTAATTGCCATGTATAATTTTAATTTGAATACATTTGACTCTGTAAATTTTATATCAGTTTTCATGGCAAAAAAATATGTGCAACCAGCTGATTTTGCTCGTATTCTTCAAGAATTATCTGATGAAGAAAAGGAAACCTTTGAATGGGAGAACAATAGCAATTTCCATTCCTTATTTTTTTATTTCTATTTTTTAGAAATAAATAAAAATATTAAAGTTAGTTTAAAGTGCGTTTTTGTAAGCAGTAAGAAGTAAATTGCAGAAGTAACTTTTTTCCTACGAGGTGTTTTCCTTTTTTTGTCTATACTTGTCTTTCATGTCATGTCTTGTCATAACTAAAATTAGTTCAATTTAAAATATAATTTAAATAATAATTTAAAATTTTTCTATAATGAAATACATCATTGCATTTCCATCTCACTAACATAAGAACTTAAAAGTAATTTACTTATTTGAATGTGATATCATTTGTATTTTGCAATAATAAGATTATTATTTTATTTCTTAACAAATTTATTATCAATATTCTCTCATTCCTGTTGTTTTTCGTACCAAAAACGGTAAAATAACGGATGTCGTAAAAAATACGACATGCCTGTGCTCGTATAAAATTCCCAAGCGCGCATGCTGGAAGGTTAAGGGTTTTATGTTAGTTAATCTGCATGCATTAGTTTTAAAATTGCGGACAATTTAAAAGTTAAGTTCGTTCATTGTTTTTACCATAGCAGCCATATTTGTTTATATTTGAAACTTAGAATAGTGAATTACCATATTTGCTGACGTACAAGACGCACTGGCCTATAAGACACCCCCTTTTTTTATACTTGTTTTCGAAGGATAAAACTTTTATTACTGTTTATTATAATAAATTTACAGTATTTTAAATATAAAGTAATACAAATACAAAGTAATACTTTCTGCAAATACCCAATCTATCTGGGAAAGAACACCTTTTAATCTTTGTCAAAACCCATATACTCATCTCCAGAGCTGAAGAGTCACTTGGAACCTCTTCTAAATCAGCATCTGAATCCTCATATGAGAAATTGCCCTCTGTACCATCCAGTGCATTACTAATGTCATAAAAAATACGGCATTACTAATTTCTTAAATAAATGATTTAATCATTGTCTCTGTTTTCACACCATCCCATGACAATCGTGTAACTCCAAATACAGGAAATTTCCAGAAATGAATGCAATAAAAAACCACGTGTCGACGTATAAAACACTGTATCGACATATAAGACACACCCAGTTTTTAAAACCTTGTGTATTACATGCTGGCAAAAATGGTATGCCTTTTTGCTGAGTGGGACCAAAAGGAAACTTAGTTTTGTGCCCAAAAAACTCTGCCTTTTTTCCTACTGGCATGTTTTTGCATAGAAACTGCAATTTTAATTGTAAAATTTGTTTTTTAATTGTTTTAACTGTATTTAGTGTTTTATCTTTTTCTATATCTTTCAATTTTTAATAAAGATATTTTGAGTTTTCATGTATTTTTGCCTTGCTGCAAAATGAGAACTGAATTAATTGAACAAGACATATCTCTAATGAAATTCAAGAAAATAAGTTTAAATGAAATGCAGGAAAAAATGTGTATAATTTAATATTCCATGTGTCTAACAAGGAAGTCATGTGGGGTACACATCCGATTTTTTATTAATGAAATTGCTGTGGGTTTAGGTGTTAGATGAAATATGAGCTGTAAATGGCCTACCCCTTTTTTTGTAAATTTTCTATAACTTATCACCCTTTCAGTTCACAACCTTTAGTTATTGATTTGATGAACATTTTAATGTTTCTATTTTATGTATATTGTGTGTGCATATATATTATTATATATATATGTAATGAAAATTTTGAGTTTTTTGTCAATCATGATGATGAATATTTGCAAAAGAAATAGTTCTGGCCAGTTGAATATTTCTTTATTTTTAACAAGGCTTTTTTTTTTAATATATGCAACAAGATGTACCTTAATTAAATTAAGAAAAATTAAATTTTGATATGATTAATAATAAAATACATCCTGATAAAGAATATGTTTGGTCTAACTCTCGACTGATGATAGATTTTCAAATTAGGTGGTTAAAATGAATCGATAAATTTCAATAAATGGAATTTTTTACACTGTATTCAACGTCCACCGCCTTGTGCTTCTGGTCCAGTTGCCCCAGATATGAATAAGAATATCAGAAAAGGTACAATGTACATCCACTGAAAAAAAAAAAAAAAAAGAAAAGTATTTACAAAAATAATTGGTAATACCTTGTTAAAGATGCCACTGCATTTGGCAGTTACCTGAAATTGGATACTTTTCTACGCTATTTGAATTTGGTCTGACCTCTTTCCTGCTGGTAAGGGTCTTTATAAACATCACTTACATGACCATGTTTTTTACATAATGAGATTTTCTTTCTTTTCTGTTTATAGTATGGGATGCTATGATTTGCCAAGAGCTGAAAGAAGCTATCCTGTTTTTTGAGAATTAAGGCCAAGAGCTATCCTGTTCTCTTAAGAAAAAGATGTTCTTCACAAAGAAAGCTTGTGTTTAGATAACCACCTCATGAAATTAAAAATGTGATTCCAAATGGAAATGGCTGTGCAGCCTTTGTTCATGTCTGGAGTAAAAGAGCGTTTCAAAGACGAACGTGGGACCATGCATTTCTTTTATTACTGTTGTACGATTCATTTACTTGTGATTTTAAAAGTTAGATGTGTATTGAGACTTGTGAACAAAATCTTACATCAAATGAATTGCAACCTTTGGTTGGAATAATTACCTAAGGGAATATTGCTGATTCCTTGTCATCTCATCTTAATATTAAAACTGTTTGATGTAATAAAATTATGGAAATTGACATATTCAAAAAAAAGGAGGAAAAATATTGCTGTGTTCTGCCCCCAAAATATGAAAAAAGGAATAAAAATGCTTCATATAAAACAACACAAGTCACAAAAAAATCTTACCTCACTATAGCGCTTAATTAACGTCTATCATTTTTAAAAGAGGATGCCAAAATGTTAATTTCATGAATGGTGTTTTCATTCATGTTCACAAGAAAGAATGGATAGATGAAAACGGTATGAAATTGTGAATAAGAAATGTTTAGCAAAAGCACCCTGTTGCCTTAAGGAAAAACCCGCAGAGAACAAAGCGCAGTCACGGGACCAAACCTGTCGAAATGGATCAATGCCGCCGACCTGCGCATTTTCAGCAGTTAAGCCTAATTTTACAAAAAAAAAAAAAAAAAAATAAAATCAGCACTTTGTTATGACTTCAAATTTTGAAGTTGCATTTTTAATGTGTATTAATATAAAGAAGATCACATTAATAGAAATAAATTAAACAGGCAAAATACTTAAATCTTAACTATATTCACAGAAATAAATACTATAAACAAAATTACAAATACGAAATTTAAAAAACAAACTAAGCAAGATTTACTGTAAGTTTTTAAATTCCAATTTCATTTGAAGTGACATGGTAAATATATGCATCACAATAACAAGTGAAAATCACAAATATATGGTTATGGATTCAATGGGCAAAAATGTCTTTTTCATGTAAGTAATTTTGAAAATGACCAGTTTGATAAGTTTCTGTGCAGTGTTTCCTAATGGATTACAACTCTAGGAGACATAGCGTGGAAACTGGAACTAAATGGTGGCATGCTAAAAAAAAGAAGTAAAGGTGTCTTTAACTTACAACTAAATGATAGCATGCTAAAAGGTGTCTTTAGATTACCCAATTCTCTAATTCAATTTATTCATACACTTTCAAACTAATACTTGATAATCTTATATCAAAAATCCTCAAATGACTGGTTAAATCTCTTCTACCAACATTATGCATGTTCACACTCTCTTGTTTTCAGCAACTCCATTTATATTCATAAATATTTCCCTTTCTTTTTTACTAATCATGCACCTGCACATTTTGAGCATTTAGATAAAATCAAATCCATTTCCATCGATCAATCTAACACAGCTTTCTTCTCTTGCATCTCCAAAATTATTAAAAATTAGTACATTGGCTAAACATTTTCATAGCTATAACCTTTCCCATACTGGGATTTAAAATTTAAAATATCTGCAAAAAATACAAAAAGCACATGAAATACCTCTTCCTTACTAGCCAGAACACAAAACTGTCAATCATTAATTAATCCATAGCCACCAACCTTGAAATCTTAAAATCAGGAGGTTTGCACACTGTGTGACAAACACCATTTCAAAGGAACTCCAAACTAACTTTAACTCACTTACAATTGCATGGTTCAGGTAAATCAACTATTTGTTATACAATTCTGATGTAAAATATATTAGCATTTAATTGGATATTCTGAATTTTATCTTCTTTGGCTAAATTTCATTTTTAAATTTTCTTACAATTTCATACTGAGAAAATCCCTAGTAGAGAAGAAAACTTGTATTTATTAAAGTATTTTTAAATATGATGAAAATAAAGTAATTAAGGTACATAGTATTTATGTGGATAATGTATCATTTATTGATGTAATAAAATGAAGTCAAATACTAATAGTAACTGATCAAATATTGCTTGAATCTTCATCTAAAAATCTATAAATGTCCACCATAGACTCAGATGAAATTTAGTAAAAGAAAGAAAAAAAAATAAAATGTAATAAAAAAAATTATTCTGAGAATCATTAGAGTTAGGAGAATGGAATTTTCCCAACATACGTTTCATTAATTCAATAAATTTAATTTATTGCTGGGAAACATCTTCCATAAAGACTAAATATTGGAAACTGGTAGTTTCTCAATTAAACTGGGAAAGTTGGCAGCTATGTAAATCCATTGCACTTACATTTTTCTATGTAAATCCATTGCACTTCTATTTTTAACCCTTTTTCCCTACCAAGCCTCTAATGTTAGTCAAAAAAATATCAATCGTTAATCAGTCTCAAAGAAATTTATGTACACATGTATGTGAATTCTACTAATTTTTCACTTTTAACACTCCGAGCTTTGATGGCCCTCTTTTTCATAATAGAGTAATTTCCCATATTGGTAGAATTTATTGTCTCAAAAAATATTGCTGCCAAGCTCCCCATTTTCCTTAATTATTTTTATCATATCCATAATTTTATCACAGGATAAAAATCATGAATATTTACGGAAAATCTATTATAGTTGTTATCTCTATTTAAGTACCAATATTTTTTAGCAGATTTTCTTCAATTTTTATTCAAAATCTACACCAGTCTATGGCTGCATTTTTATCTAATTTTAAATTTTACATTGGCATATTTCTCTCCAATTAAAGCACGGTTTTTATAATATACTTACATATTTGGCAAAAAATGATCTATTGTCACCTTGTTCCCCCCTCGCCTTTTCTGCCTTCTCTTGTTCTAATCTTTGAATGTAAGTTAATGTATCAGGTCTGCAATAAACAAATTAGATTTAAAATGATATTATCTCAAATAAAGAAAGTATTATAACACAAAGCATAAAAATTAAAAAATTTCAAAATTTGAGGTATAAAAGAAGTCAGTACTAAAGCGAAACATATACATGACAGAAAACTTTTATATTTTGATGCCATTTAGCGGCTAGAAAGAAAACTTATTTTTAAATATCTTAATAAAGAAAAATTATATTTAACATAAAATTTTGATTCACAATACATATTTTCCTTCCTTTGTCCATATACATATTATCCTGTGTTGAATGCACAAATTATATTCAATAGAAATTTAAATTACATACTTGCCAACCTATGACACTCAAAAAATCAGGAGATTTTTCAAAATGTTAAAAGACTTTTTTTAAATGATGAAAATATAGTTTTTAATATGAATTAACTTTAAATAGTAACTAATTCTTAAACACAAGCAACACAAAAATACCTTACACGTAAAAAAAACATTTTTATTACTTGCATCGTTTAAGAAAACAAAACAAACAAACAAAAAAAACTTTAATCAGTTTTCGTACAAATGTTATAAACAGTGGCAGATTTTGCTTTCTTTAAAAAAGAAACTTCATAATTTTGTTCATAGCAATTGCCACGTAGGCCTGCTTTCACTAATAAAAGTTTTTCTAATGTGTCATCACTAATTTTAGATCTAAATTTAGTTCTCGTTTTCGCAACAACACTGAAAATCCTCTCACACTCTGCATTACTATGGGGAACTGTCAAGATGGCCAACATAATTCTAGACAATTCACTATATTTAAAAATTCCATCAGCATTTTTCAGTTTTCCAATTAAACTCCACTGGGTGTCAATCCTAGCTGATTTTATAACTTCATCCAAGTTTTCTAATTGTAAACTGCTGTTATGCAGCTGTTGGAAATGTTTCAATTTTTGTTTCCTTTTAGAACTCCTTTCAAGATAATAATAAATATCAACAATGTATTCATCCACATTTATTGGTAAAGAAGCTGCCCCTTTTTCAGCTGCTAAATTTAAGAGGTGACAGGTGCACCTCATAATCTTCAAATCTGAATTTTCCTTTCGTAAGACGCCTGCAATACCAGTCTTCAAGCCTACCAATACTGGTGCATTATCGGCACCAAGTGTTAAGCAATTATCCAGAGGGACTACATTTTCTTTTAAAGTTTTAAGAATTAGCTGTGCTATATTAAAGCCTGTCAAATGCCCTTCTAAAGTGGGGCCAGAAATTAAACTGCACTCAATTTCTGAAGACTCCGGATTAAAAAAAGAAAAAACAATTGGATACAGTTTTGAACTGGTATTATTGCTTCCATCCCTAGAGAGGCAGAACGGAGCTGTTTTAATGCAATCAATAACTGAAGATTTATTTTTCAAATCCATTTCTTTATCAATTACACCTGTTTTGGTTATTGTTCACTATCAGGAAACATTTTTCTAAATAAAGCTGCAGCGTGATCCGATGCATACAGTGGCAGGTTGTGCTCCTGTACAAAGGCAGAGAACAGACATTCTGCATTAATAACTTTTTGGTCCTTTGTTTCCGAAGAAAAATTTAATTTTTCGTTTTTTTCAAAACAGCTCATGTTGTCCTTGTGTTTTGGTGTACGCACATGTTTGAGAACATCCGCCCTTCCACCATGCGAAATCGGAAAATCGCAACGACAGGCGGTACACATCGCAAATTCATTATATTTTCTTGAGGAAATAATGGAAGGAAACTCAACTGTGTACGATTTTCGAAACGTATACGAGTATTTCACCTTTCTCGCAGACATAAAAAAGATGATAATTTCTAAAACTATTTTCCGAAGGCACGTGTACTCACACAACTCAGGACAAAATGACCGAAATAACTAAAGAACATCCAAATAACAGCTTGCTTTGTCCTCATTGGTTAATATATGCAATGAATCTTCAGATTATGGTAACTTGGTGATTTTTTGGCGACCAACCCTGCTACAGCAACCTGCTAGTTTTTTTTTTTTTTTTTTTATGCCATTTTGTTTTCACGAAGTAAAGGCATGTTTCCCCCCCTCAACATTTTTTCCAACAATCTGCTAGCCGAATTATGCTTATGCTAGAACTTTTATGGAACAAAAGTGCTTAATCATGACGAAGATTAGGTGAGAAATTGGGAGAAAGTGCAGAATCGCCCACTGCTTCGCACGTTTTTAAGAATTGCACATACGCGGTATCCATGTACATGTCGACTTATTTTCACTTAAAAAAACATCCCAGAATTGCACAAAAAAGGTATTGCGCACAAGCTTGAGACTTTATCCATGAACACATCGACCTATTTTCACTTAAAAAGTCAAAGAAAATTGACAAAAATCCAATTCTTCTTACTCTTGTAAAAAGCGCCAAACAAATAAGTGGGCGATTCTGCACTTTAGCAGCGAAATTGTTTCTAAGTGCTTATTAGCTAAAATCACGATCGGAATTTTCCGGAAAATGTCACATGACATGTCTCATGATCTCTCATTTCTCTGAGACAAAATAATCTGTGATTCGAACTGTGTACTTCTCAGATTATTGCTAAAGTCCTACCTAGTAACCTTTACCGCTTTACTAAAATGTCGCCAAACTACCTGTTACCATATTCCAAAGATTAGCCATATATGCCAGATGACACACAGTAGAGCACGACGCCCATTGGAGAACTGGAGAACGACGTTTCTGGATATGTATATGCTCTCACTCACAAAGCAGAAGTTATCTAATTTGCAAGGTTTTGTTTTAGATATAATCCAGAGAAAATTCAATTGCTTTCAGATGTCCAAAATCACTTTTTTGGTTCATATAGCAAAGTATTAAGCCAAGTTCCATAAAAATCATGAGAAATTTTAAGAATAAGAAAAAGTCGGGAGAAATATATTGTAAATCGGGTTGGCGGGAGAGCGGTCGAAAATCAGGAATCTCCCGCCTAAATCAGGAGAGTTGGCAACTCTGAAATTAGTATACTAATAATTAAAGAATTTAAAATAGTAAGATGCACATTTTATAACTATTAAAAAGTAAAAATTTTAATCGATAGTACTAATAGTGTGCTAATAATTAATTAAGGAATTTAAATATCTAACTTGTAAATTCTATTAATTACAATTTGCACCTGACACTTTTTTAATATTTTCACTGCTACTAACTTCTAAAAGAGTAATAAGGCATCATGGACATGTGCCAATACATCTGCTGGAAGCCAGTTTCTTTCATTTACTAAATGCTTAGCAGAGATGTGTTTTTTTTTTGGGGGGGGGAACATTTGCATGGCATCTAAGTATATTTCACCATATTTTGTGATTCTAGTAATAACTAATCTTTTGCCAGTGCATCAAACACCTAAAAGAAAAATTTAATCTCATCTAATTGAAACAAACACTGGACCTTCTAATTGGTTAATCTGGCCTGTCATTAAATCCCATGCAATGACATTTTCATCTCTTTTCTACCTGATTTTGCATGCAAATAACCAAATGAATGTGCATCTATTGTTACAGTGTGTATGTACATACACAGACTGTACTAGCAATCAACCTAAGCTGATAATACTAGATATGTTGGAAAACATGTGCATGTGCCAAATTATATAGTCTAATTATTTCACACATCTATAATTTTAAAATTAAATAATGACATACGAATACTGTTGGGATTAAAAGACTGATTAGGAAAAGAAACTTGAAGGGAGACATTTCATCTTTAAGTTTACATTTTAAAATGAAACAATATACATGTTGATTCTTTTGATGACCAATAGGAACAGATCTCGTTTTTGGCATATTTATAATTTTTTAATTTTTAATTTCTACTGGCTAGAGATGTCTTGTCCTGCAAACAATAGGAGCACTGCCTGAATGATGCATTAAAAAGACCATTTTGTACCACCGTTAAAAGTATTTACCAACCCCTTATCTAAAGCCTTGAAAGAAGAGAAATACATCAAAATAAAACTTAAAATTAAGCAAAACAGCAGTGTGTTTGGCACAGATTTAAATTAGAAATCTATAAAATTCAAGGGCGTTCAGGTACAAGTTCCACTCCATCACCATATTTATACCAAAACCAAAAGGATACCCCTTTGTTTTTGTTGTTTGCATAAATATTCTTCCTTCTTTTTTGTGCTGCTGATGAGAAAGCACATGTACCTGATCACCCTCAAAATTGACAGAGATTTAATTAAAATTTATGTCAAACACAATGTTGCTGTTTTGCCTCATTTCCAAACCTAAAACCTTGTTAGTATCAGATGCTAGATTTTTGCAATGAAAATGTATTTCTTTTCCGAGTGACAGCAGTCAGTCAAAAGAAAAAAAAATGTCACCTTTGTATTAAGAAAGATAAAGCAAATAATAGACTAGGACTGAGCATACAATGTTTTGACAAATGCAACTCTTTGTGTAGAGCTATAATCATGTCTTAATCTTCTTTTCATTTGCTCATAAAAGTTTTCTGTTACTTTGTGAATTAATTTATGATAAATAAAGTTTTTGCTATTTGATAAATTATTAAACCCACCCACCCCCAATTTTTTTTTTTTTTTAACTCAGTGCCAACTCTGATCATAGTAGGTGGATTTGGGCAAGAAAAAATTATCATGCTACCACTTATGCTACCAGCTCCAATCGAATTTTCCGTTGACAACTTAGGTTGACATACTTTTGTTATTTGATAACTTTAATTATGGCGATAGACTGCACTAAAATTTATCAAAAAATGATACTATAATAGCACTACATTACATTTACCAGGTTCTTTGTGGAAGTGATTTTCAGACCAACAATGTTGGGCAACAGAAGACTTCTGTGTTTCCTTTTTTTTTTTTTAACATATGCCTCATGTTCCTTGACGCGAAATTTTAAGGCTCTCTTAGTTTGGCCAATGTAAATTAAACCACACTGGCAAGGAATCCTATATATACCCCAGGAATTCCTATCCAGAATGGGGTCCTTGAGTATGGAACTCGGAATTTTATTGATTGGAGA